GGGGGGGGTGTCCTGGCCTGAACTGTCCCCCTGCTCTGGGGAGGGCACAACTGCATGTGCTGTCTCACCTCACCTCTCCCATGCCCAGCGCCTGACACCCCCCTACCCCCCCCGTGGGCTGTATCCAGCTGCCTCTGGATATTTCCCTGCTAGGTTGCTGTTATCTGAACGTTTTTTCCCCTTTTCAGTATGCAGGCATTGAACCCGTTGACAAGATCAACACAGAGGTAAAGTCCTTTACACACTAAAGGGCTCTGCGTGTGCTGCCCAGACTCCTCTCTCCCTGCTGGGCTCCCCTCGCTCCCCACTCCTGGAGGCTGACGGGATGGTCGGGGGTCTCAGCTCCCGCATGGCCATGGGCATCGCTCGGGTGGGCGTCGCGTTGGGCAGGAGGTGTCGTGGCCGCTGTCAGGCGTATTCAACCCAAAGGCGGGGGGGCTTCTGGCTGGGAGGGCAAGTCATGCAAAAAAGATTGTTTATAAAAATTTCTTCTTTATAAAAAGATACTGTGCCTTCTGGTTTCTTTAGGTTGTGGAAAGCACCAGAGTGATTCGTCACAAGAGTGCCATGGCCCAGCGCTGGGAGGCAGGGCAGTACGTCAGGGACGACGATGACTGAGGGAGCCCTCGGGGCCAGGGGCACTGGACTTTGCCGCGTACTTGCCCTGCTTGGGATCAACTGACACACGATCGAAATACCTATCAGTTCAGCTCCTGGTTATCACAAGAATCAGAGACTTGTACACTGCAAATCACATCTGTTTTTAATATAACAGATGATCCTTCCAATGCGTTAGATCTGCTCATTTGTTTCCCCTTCGAGGTGAGGTAATTTTTTTTTTCTTAAGAGGGGAAAAATTGGATGACTTTCTTTTAATCAGTTCTGCAAGGAGACAGCCAGATGAAATCATACGGTAATTTAACTTGTTTCTCATTGGAAGCTGTGTCTCTGGCTTGCAAAAAAGCTGTTTTATTTTGCAGTGGTTTTAGATTTTTAAGTACCCCACCATCAGGCCTCACATAGGAGGGTACCTAGGCTGATGCGTACCTTCGGATCAATATCGGCGTCGAACTGGGAAATCAACGTTTCTGCTTAACTCGTGATCGGCTGAGATGCAGTAATACGACATATGTATTTCCATATAAATGCTGTTTACTTCGCTAACTTATGAAAGAGTCCTCGCTCTCCCGCGTTCTGCCTGCCCCGGGTGGTTTGTCCGCCTGCTCGGCTGCCTTCGCAGGAGCCCCGCGCTCGGGCAGCCGGGGCCGTGCCCTTCTGCGGGG